CTGTCTGCCTACCAGCCTACTTATTTCTTGTCTACTTATCTAACCTCTCTCGCGCCTACCTACTTGTTCCTCTCTCTGTTTATCTTTTTCTTCTGCGTTCATTTTCCAATATCTTGTTTTCTTACATCCTAATTATCTATCTAACAACCAACATGAGCCAATAATCTTGATTCTGTAACGCTCATGTTATATTAGCCTATGTGTCATTCATAATGTCTTACGTTTACTTCCGTCTGACAGATCGCAAACAAGCCCAGAGAAATGGCACATGAGAAACCAGAACCTAAACCAGAAACCCGCCGAGAGGGACAGGCCATGAAGGACAAGCGGGCGGACAGCGGTAGCAGCACCAGCAGCAGTGGCAGCAGCGCCAAAACCTCTAGCAGCCGCTCATCCAGCGACCTCAGCCGTCACTCCCAGGGCAAAGAGAGCCCCAAGAACGGGAAGAAGATCCGGCGGAAACTACCGCCCATACCTGTGGGAGAAGAACCTGTAGTGGCGCCCAAGTCGAAGCTCAAACGAGCCAAACCGCCAACTGTCAAGCGAGGAGAAGGTGTTGACAAAGATGATACTCATGCTTCTCTAGGGGCTGACTCCCGTCGAGTGCAATACCAGAGTTCTAAAAGCTCCGATAGTGAGGGCTACTTTGTCGGTCCAAGTAACCGTATTAGCAGGGTCCAGATGAGGGACAGCGATGAATCGATGAATGAAGATGATGCAGAGGTGGCAAGGCTGACCACGGTGAGAGGTGAAGCTCCAGCGCCGAAAAGAAAAACACATTTAGTAGACGTTGGCAAGTCAAAAAGCTTAGACTCTGCGGAGACTCTTTCTAGGTCCGATGCAGCAGAAGCGGTTCGGATGAAACCCCATATACAAAGAACGGCCTCGTTAGTTTATGGTCCAAAAGATGAGACAGACGAAATTATTGACTCGCTCATTGACATTTATGGTATTCCTTGCACGGAGGCTATGAAAAGCCTGAAGAAACGGCTTCAGGAAGAGTTGAGGCGTGTGACAAAGGACAGAAAGAGGAAACTGGAAGAATTAGAAGAAATTCGGGCATTGCAAATGCAGATAGGCGCTCTGAAATCGGAATCTGATGCGTATGCTCGAAGTAGAGCGTTTGCGGGGAGGAGATCCCCGGCACAGCACTTGATGGTGGAAACTCAGCACGATACCCGGAAGAAGACAGGAGTCACTCAGTCTGCCTCATCCTCTTCTTTAACTCCCAGATCATCTCCTCAGGTAACTCCTCGGCGTCAGCGACATAAGCGTCAGTCTTCGGATCCCATGATTTCAAAGTTCTCTCCTATCAAAGAAGACAAAGATATTGAAGGAGATTTCCAAACACGGGTGCATGAGCCATCGGACAGCAGAACGCTGAAGTACCATACAGACGACAGCTCCCAGTCAGGTATTAGTGATTCTGAAAGCACTAGGTCCGAACCAGCTAGAGATGCTCGCTACTTCAAACCAGACTCTTCCGACTACGCCAGAGCGTTCTACACTCAAAGAAGTGACCATGGAGGTTCTGCTGAAAAAATCCACTATACCGGATATGATCATGGTCGATATGATAGAGCTCAGGCCTTGTCTGGGAGCAGGTCTGAGCAGCACCTATCTTCTCGTTCGAAAGCTTCTGTTTTTTATTTAGACGATGAGGAGACGAAAGCTCGCGAGGAGAAGAAAGCTATGCTGCAGTACGAAATCATGAAAAGAAAACAACAATTAGAGGAGACGGCGAGACTGAAAAACGAGCTTCTCAAACTAGCGAGAGCCAGGCAAAGTTTGGCCCATAGCTATGATGATATCCCTCGGCAATACGGGGCCCCCGGTGCCCCTCACAGACCCGTCCCCCGGGGTATAATCAAACCTATTGACGACGAATCCAATCTTCTGTACGACTACCGAACCGACAGCGCCAGACGGTCAAGAGAACATTCTCGAGAACGGTCACGTGAGAGGTCAGCAGAACGGAGAAGTGAAGGAGACCTCCATATCAGCAGCTTCAGGGAAGACGCCTTGGACAGCATGGTCATGTCAGAACACAGGTATAGAGAGGCATCCCGGCGACATCACGCCCACCAGGCACCTCAGTCTCAGGAAGGTAAAGCGCTCTCTAACTACAGCTCCACTGAATACCTGGCACACAAGCAGGAATCCGCTGGCCGAAGGTACATGGAAGAACCAGGTCAGTACGGCTCCCAAGGCTGGATCGCTGGAGATTACCCCACCGACGGACTAGCGTCTACTCAAGCATATTCTCAACCTTCGCTGAACAAGCGTGCTGATTCTTCACAGTCATTAGGCGTGTCCAGGAGGGAACCTTCGAAGAAGGATCCCGGTATTGTGTCCAGCGTCACTTTGCCTAACATGTATGCTGAACGGGCCGAGAGAGACTTCAGGCCTTCCTACAGGTAGGCAGGTGGTCAGTGCTTAAATGACCGTACTAGTTCTCCAAATTTGATACAGTCTATATCACAGTGCTCTATTCTACAATCAGCTAATTTGATTTGATTAATCTATCTAATCTATCTCTATCTATCTATCTATCTATCTATCTATCTATCTATCTATCTATCTATCTATCTATCTATCTATCTATCTATCTATCTATCTATCTATCTATCTATCTATCTATCTATCTATCTATCTATCTATCTATCTATCTATCTATCTATCTATCTATCTATCTATCTGTCTGTCTGTCTATCTATCTATCTATCTATCTATCTATCTATCTATCTATCTATCTATCTGTCTGTCTGTCTATCTATCTATCTATCTATCTATCTATCTATCTATCTATCTATCTATCTATCTATCTATCTATCTATCTATCTATCTATCTATCTATCTATCTATCTATCTAATCTTTCTATCTAATCTATCTAATCTTTCTATCTAATCTATCTATCTATCTATCTATCTATCTATCTATCTATCTATCTATCTATCTATCTATCTATCTATCTATCTATCTATCTATCTATCTATCTATCTATCTATCTATCTATCTATCTATCTATCTATCTATCTATCTATCTATCTATCTGTCTGTCTGTCTGTCTGTCTGTCTGTCTGTCTGTCTGTCTGTCTGTCTGTCTGTCTGTCTGTCTGTCTGTCTGTCTGTCTGTCTGTCTGTCTGTCTGTCTGTCTGTCTGTCTGTCTGTCTGTCTGTCTGTCTGTCTGTCTGTCTGTCTGTCTGTCTGTCTGTCTGTCTGTCTGTCTGTCTGTCTGTCTGTCTGTCTGTCTGTCTGTCTGTCTGTCTGTTTGTGACCCTTTGAAAATAAAGTTCGTTCGTTCTATCTTTATCAATCGATCTGTCTATGCATCTATATTCCTGTCTGTCTATCTATCTATATGTCTGTGTGTCGGTCAAGGCGATCTGTTTGTATGATCTGTTTTTATGATCTGTTTGTATGATCTGTTTGTATGCCCTATCTGCGACGCATCCTTGAATTGGAGACGGAACTATTAATTTCATGCCTGATCCCCTAGCCAGATAAATACTACATATCGTGAAGTCCCGTATGCACATTACTCAGGATTTAAACCAAAGTCTATAAACACTTTACGATCAGAACTAGTCGGTTATCATGACTCATTTTTAGAAATTGTTACAAACCTACCCACAACAGAAGATATATTGTGTGGTTATGAATACACATAATTTTGGTTTACGGCGATTTGTGCATATGTTAATAAGTTCGTGCACTGAGTTAAGATGTTCCTGATGTGTCATCAACGTGATAACGGGTCACAAGTGAGTGAGAGGAAAATTGTTCTTGAATCAAATCATCCAATTCTCTAATTACATTAATGAGGTCGGAATCCACTTTTGGTCGATGTTTCTGGCGCGAAAGAAAGAGGGAGCAACACTACCAGCTGATTCTTTTTCTTCTTTTTCTTCTCTTCCTCTCTACTTATTTTTCTTTTTCTTCTTTTTTTCTACTTTTTTTTTCTTCGTTGACTATATAAAGACGGTTGGTACATTGTGATGTGGTTTACGACGTAACCAACTTACCTGTGGCATAGATTATTTTGTATTAGTCAACTAGGAGCAGTGGTGCTATAGTAGCGGGACGCTAGCTTACCGGTCACAAGATCTTAGTTTCGAATCTACAAAGAGCAGCATTTTTTTAAACTGACCTTTGGCTCGCAGGTCAACCTAAACTAAAATATTGTCGAAAGTCAAGACGGCCGGTGTGATATTGACCAAGGGACCCGACCCGTGCCAGTTAGAGACTAGAGAAACACACCAGTCTTGCACCATGTGCCGGGACATCACTGACATAAATAGGATCAGTTAGTAAACAAACCAAATCATTTTTGGAGATCCCAACCTTCCACTGGATAGCTGGAAATAACAGGGTTCAGTACGAGAAAATTAAGTAGGCCTATGTAAGAGAGGTTAATAGACATTAGGGGTCTTGTATTGATCACGATTGCCCCATTGGAACCCCAGAGCGCTAAGCTAACAGCCTTACCCCTTCGCCCCGAAGACCCCCATGTTTGTAACTTTTTTAATAATCTTGTTTGAATGTTGGCGTCTGTGAAACACTTGAGCTTGTTTTCCGAGAACGCTTGATAGAACACCCGGATCTTTTCATTGACAGGGATACCGGCTTTGTCACCACAAGTATCTCCGACACTGACGGAAGTCCTGCCAGTGACGTCACGCCGGCCATGCCCCTACTGGACGATGTAAAAATTAAGTCCCGGACCATCATCCGGAACATCGGCAGCGGCAGCCGGCCGGTGTCTGCCGAATTTTGTGCCGGTGAAGTTGAAGGTACGTTTTGTCTTTCAGGTAGTCACAAGTAAAGTCAAGTAAGGACCCTTTTCCACGCCTTTCGGGCATATTGGGTATATAGGGCTATACTTAAAATGTATTGACCTAACGTCATCGGTGTGTGGTGTGGTCAGCATCATGCCGGCCGCCTTTATTTCTCAGGACTGTACATGGGTAGACCTGGGATCCAAGGTCATTTTTGAAGAAAGTCCGGACACTGTTAGGACCCGAACCCACGACCTTCCGATCCGCAGGCGAGCGTCTAGCCGCTAGACCACGCGGCTCCCTTTCATTGGGTAATGATTCTATTAATTAACAAATACTTTCTAAAAGATCTGAACATCAAGAAAGATTGCCTTGTCTCTGAGCTGAAATATATTGACCACGTCAAGCGCCTCGGCGGACTGATAAAAAAAATAATAGCAGAGGTACAACAGTAGGTAGGACACGGTGTGAGCTCCCCGCCAAAGCCTACTACAGATATTGCTTACAGAACGGTCAGTGATCGGTGCCAATGTCGAAACTAACGCAAGACAAACCGTCCGCACCTGGGATCGAACCCGGCGCCCTGACGTTACGAAGCTCGTTCGCAACAGACGCCGACAAGGGGACAATGCGTTTTATTAATCAACACAGAACAGACGTCATCTGTTGTTTTACACTTGTGGAGCTTTAGAGGAGGAGATCGGAGCACCTGTGAATCTGTTCGGAGTGCTGTGATGACAGTCCTTACTAATGACTAGTCTACGCCTTTTATGTCCAAACCTTCTGAAGCTCTTCCTCGCAGCTGGCCTCTAGACTAAAGTTTGTCCCAGCATTGGCAACCTGTAGCACGCTCGAGCATCAACGTGTGTATCCCACAAACTAACGACAATAGTTGACTGCGGTGACAAACACTGCAGAAGCAGTCTAAAGTCTTTCATGACATATGAGTTCACACATACATACTTGCCTAGATTGTTGAGAGTCCGTTTGAAAGTAAAAGTCAGATTATACAACAACAACAATACAAATACAGATGTACAACATTGAGGGTTGGGAAATGACAGCAAGGATTACAGATAAAACGAACACTTTTCACCGTAAAAGGAGAATCCAGTAAACATTTTTGTCAAGCAAGATCAACAATAGAGAACAGGGAAGGAAAACAAACTGTTCATCACTAGCAAACGTGATCAGGTGAAGAAAAATAGAGATGGTTTGGATGTTTGCAGAATGGCTGTGACACTTTGGCAAGGTTAATAACTGTGTAATGAAGGGTAGGTGGAAAACGAGACGTGGGCGATTTAGAAGACCTAGAGGATGGTAGAAAGGGAAATAATCCATAGTTATATGGGATACCGCAGGCAGAAAAATAGCAGGCTAGCAGTAAGGGACATAACTTGTGAATGATGTATGTGTCAACAGAGATATAGAAAGGACAATGAATACCACTCTAAAATTATGTAAATGCATGCAGTCGGGTATAATTTCTGAGACATACAAAAAGGATTAACCACACACATAGACAACAAGAGTCCAGCAAACCTAACACTGGTGATTGGTGGCCGAACCACTGTTTAGAGAAATACACATGAATAAACAGTGGGGGAAACCCTTGAGACTGCAGAAACATATATTTAAAAGTATATATTTATAAACACACAGACAATGTATCGATCGTCACTCATGGAAAGAAGTAGAAAGATAGAAGGGCACACTAGACAACATAAAATTCGAAAGCTGTAGTTACCGTGCCGGGAATCGAACCTGTCACCTCCAAATGTGTGTGCGCCCGTCTCGCTATGGAAACTAGTTCACTAAGAGAGGTGACCAACTAAACACCCCAAAAAAAGGTGTCTTCATTGGCCATGTCTTTCCTACTGCTTACAATCTACAACTATAGATACAGACAGAATTCACCTCAACTATTGAATTAGTACTATAGGTTACATAAGTGAAAATTAGCCAAGCATAGGTCGAATAACAAACACAGCAACAATTTACAAACACGGCAGACCGTAATGGTTTGCCTAGAGTACAACGAATATTTAAGAAAGATATTTGATTGGTAGGTTCCATTGTGTTACAACAACTAAAGCTTTTTTTTTCTTTGTGTTGTCTAGTGGGCCTTTCTATCTTTCGACTTCCTTCTATGAGTGCCGATGAATACATCATCTGCTTGTTTATTATACCTACACTGTGTAGAGAAGCATAAGTCAACGAGAGAAGCATAAGTCAACGAGAGAAGCACAAGTCAACGAGAATAGTGTAGCAACTGGTCGGTCGGTAACTATAGAAATGATACATTGTAGTTTTCAAGGCAGGTTTTGTAACACTTCAGTAAAAAGTAAAGTAAAGGACCATTTCCACGCCTTTAGGCGTGGGCATTTGGGCTAGACCTAAATTTTATAGACCAACGGCACAAGATGGATGATGCAGCATCACGCCGGTCGCCTTTACTTCCCAGGACTGCACCCGGTACCCACTCAAGGCTGGGTCGTCGACCTGGAAGCCAAGGTCATTTTTGAAGAAATGTCCGGCTCCGCCAGGGAGCGAACCAACGACCTTCCGATCCGCGGCGCACGTCTAGCCGCTCTGCCAAGGCGACTCCTAACTTCTCAGAGGTTATCTTTTTTTGTTCTTTTTCCCAGTGGCACGGAGGCCTTTACTCAGCTCGGATAAAGTCGTCCTATACTTTGTCCATCGCAAGTCACCTTGTGATTCTCTTCTCGGCGTGTTTTTAACATACATTTATTTCTCTTACCCTGTGGATTCAGATTTGGCACTTTCTATTTATATTGTTGCCAGGTTGTCTCACTGTCTATCCAAGCGTCCCATCTTCACCTCTTAACTTGCATAAGTTCCCTTCAACATCTTTACGTTAGAGATTGTATCCTACCATTTAATTCCTTTGATTGTGCGCAGTTTCAGTAACAAATGTTTTATCTTTGTTAGTAATTGGTTCAAAAATAAACATTCTAACCTGCACAGTTTGTGGCGTTTGCACTAGCTGTGAGGCTTTTAATTCTTAAGCCCCCCCCCCCTTTTCCCCCTGATCACTTATCTCAGAAGTGGTTATCTAGGATCTCTGACTGACTCAACCCCTGTGATTTATGTTAATTAGTTTTATGTTTGCTCTACAGATTTGTTGAATGCCATGTACCGTGTTGAGAGTGACAACAGTGTGGATGCCGATGAACCAATCATGAAGCACATGACAGAAGGAGGCGTGACTATACTCAAACAGATTGACAGGAAGCGAAGGGTTTGAATATTTTTTCTACTGTATTTTCCTTTCTCTCTAATTTTTTTCGGTGCTTTCTGTTTATCCGACCACAAATGATGTCACGAGAGAGTCCAATATTTTAGAGGGTGGTTAGAGCGGGTTTTCCATGTTTTCTGTGCTTAAGTGTGTTTCTTCCAAGTCAAAGGTCCAACCCTAGCTGACATAAACTATTTGTGTTTTCTAACCCCCTTTTTTCTATTTCCTATAATTTCCTACCCTTTTAAAAACTAGCCAAAACTAAACGCCTAATTTACCACCCCCCGAAATATTTGACTTTCCAGTGACCTGTGGATTTCCCCTGTTTTTGGTTGACTAATAAGAAATTACCTTTTTTGTTTATGTGAGTTCCAGTTAATGTATTGTCATCTGTGTATTACCTTATTGTCTCGGTGAAGCCAAGTGTCATTTTGATGACCCCAGTTAGTTTGAAAAGGGAAACACCTACTACAAAAAACAACCAGGAACCACTACAAGTGAAGAAGTCCAACAGAAGGGGAACACCTAGTGCGTCTAGAAAAGCACTTCCATGGAGAGATTTTGTCCAATGAAACACCAGACTAACACACCAGACAAGGGAGTCTCACCATATACATGATGAGAGACACAAATTCATAAACATTACTGGAAGTATCTCGGCGGAGATAACAACATAAACAATGCTGGTAGTATCTCGGCAGATACAAGCACGTAAACAAGACTGCAAGTATCTCGGCAGATACAAGCGCGTAAACAATACTGGAGGTATCTTGGGGTGATAACAACATAAACAATACTGGTAGTATTTCAGCAGATACAAACACGTAAACAAAATACTGGAAGTATCTCGGCAGAGATAACAACATAAACAATACTGGTAGTATTTCAGCAGATACAAACACGTAAACAATACTGGAAGTATTTGAGCAGACACAAACAGGGCAGAGCTCTATAGTGCCATCAGCCACAAGAAAGAGTTTTAATTAACGACTGCTAAGATGAAAAAATATGAACTTTTAAATTACATAGTTTTAAAACCAAGTTGCATATTTTTAATTCTAAAGTTTTTCATTTATGTGGCTCAGGCGTTGCGAACGCGTTTGTAATTCCAAGGTGCGGGACTGATCCCAGATGCAGGCGATTTGGCGACTTAACGCCTTGCGTTGGTTTCGACAGTGGCATCGAGATTCGAGCGCCGACTATGAAAAAAAAGGAATGGCAAATAGCTGAACGTAAACATAGCCTAGTGAAATCACAAACAGCTAACAGATGCTGTGGTTGGTTCTGCAACGTCCTGTAAAGATCAAGTAATGATCTGACAGTGAAAGATAGAGAACCACTAAAGACATAGAACAAAAGTTAAAAGCAACTAAAAAGAAATACCGAAGGAAACAGGTGAACGCTTAATAGGATTGAGGTTTGAACAAGGGACCAACATCATGGCACACGGGCAGTAACCCATAAGTGCTCCGTTATTCTTCTAACTCAAGTCTGAGTCTGAAGAAGCTCAGCACAGTGCACAGGCTCTGTAGCACTGGCGAGGATCCTGAAATACTTTTGGGTAGATTTTTATCTCAAAGTTTTTGCCCGGGCTACTATTTTCGATTTCCAATTGCTAATGGGTTTTTTTTTATGTGCCAACAATGAACACGGGCGTTCCTATCTCTCTGCCCAGAGACCAGGGGGAATTAACTAGAAGTCCAAGTCCACGTGAAAAAATCCCAGGCCCTACCGGGGATTAAACCCCGAACATCTAGCACTCGGGGCGGACGCTATGCCTCGAGACCACACAGCCCCCTCGCCAAATAAGATGAATTCAAGAAAGACGATGAGAGTTAGACAAATGTCTGGGCAACCGCTGGTACCAACAGTTGTAAGGCACATAAGATAGGAATGTGTTGGAACCGTTATAAGGAGCAGCGAACAGGGTATCATCAAACAAGTACTTCAATGGGAAACAAGGGGACTGAGAGATCCATGACCTCCAAGATAAACCCCAAGATGAACGTTGTTGAGAGAGACCTAATGTGCTAGACTGGTTTCATCAGTGTTGCCAGTTTTCTTTGACACATCCAAAACGGAGTCCAAAATATATATAAAAACATCTAAATTTGCGTTGAAAACATCTAGAAAAAAACATCCAAATGGAAAGAGTAGCAAATTACATAACAGTTTATATGACTTACCCTATAGAATCATGTCCTCATCTTTACTGATGTCTGCCTCACAAGATCCACAGGATAAAAGTAATTAGCTTGGAAGATGAAGTTGAAGCTTCAGATCCAAAATGACTCTGGTATGCTTTAGCTGTTCCAATTTCTTTTAATACCTAATTAGGGAGCTGATAAGTGGAACAGCCTTTTCCTACTCTTATCAGGCCAAATTTTATTGTCAAGATAGCATTTAAGAGGTCAAATTTCATAGGTTAGATTTGATAAATTCACTTCAAATGAAAAAACTCTAGAAAAACATCTACCATCTAAACGTCAAAAACGCCATCTAAATGCAAGGGAATACATCTAAATCTGGATGTAAAACATCCAAAGTGGCAACACTGGGTTTCATCCACTATAAACAACTGTACGGCGTAGGAAGGCATGCAAGAACAGACTTCGAGCCATATGCAGTATGTAACGTCACAAGAAAATGAAGATGTTAATGATGATAAGGAGGAGGAGGTTGACAAATAATGAACTTTGGGTAGGTTTAGTATTGTGTGTATTATCTTTGTGTTCACATTGACATTGGATACATCAGATTGGTTAGGCTGTTGATGACACATCATCATCATCATGTTGCTAGCCACCTGCAGATAGTTGCTTGAGGAACTCTTGGCCCTCCATCAGCCACTACCCCTTTCGCTCTCATGGTCAGTATCTTCTATTTCCTGTGCCCACTTAGTGGTGGTCAACACCTGCCTCTGTTTCTAGGGCCCGTGGCTTTCATTAATCTTCTTTCCCACACACTGCGATGTTTCGAAGACATGATGCTGTATCTGGAAATGTTGTTTCAATATCTAAATCTTGTCGGATGTTAGTTTTTTTTTTTTTTTTTTTTCTCTTCTTCATCATAATGTAAGTGTTTTTGTGTTACTGCAAGATGTTTATTTCCTCTTGTAGCCAGTGTCTTTAGAGCAGTGCAGGTACTTTTCCTATGTAGTTACATGTATGCAGTTTATGCGTTTGTTGTGCGTATATGTGTGTGTATGTGTGTGTGTTTTGGGTGGACGTGCTGTGTGATCGTTCTTTTGATATGTCATTATCGGGCATTGCGTGTACATGCTAGGTGTGTTTTGTGTGTATGTTGCGTGTACATGCTAGGTGTGTGTTGAGTGTATGTGCATGTTGCGTGTACATGCTAGGTATGTGTTGTGTGTGTGTGTGTATGTTGCGTGTACATGTTGTGTGAGTGCTGTATGCATGTACTAATGCCAGATTTCGTGCCTCCCTTATAGCCAGCCCCTATAGAACCGTACCGGTACAGTTTTCCTGTCAAGAGGATTCTGGTCACAAGGGATGCCAAGGACAAGTCAATCACAGGTGAGTCACGCCGCTGTACTCTATTGGTGGGTCCCGCCGCTGTACTCTGTTGGTGAATCCCACCGCTGTACTCTGTTGGTGAATCCCACCGCTGTACTCTGTTGATAAGTCCCGCCTCTGTACTTTGTTGGTAAGTCCCACCGCTGTACTCTGTTGGTAAGTCCCACCGCTGTACTCTGTTGTTAAGTCCCACCGCTGTAGGTGAGTCCCACCGCTGTACTCTGTTGGTAAGTCCCACCGCTGTACTCTGTTGGTGAATCCCACCGCTGTACTCTGTTGGTGAGTCCCACCGCTGTACTCTGTTGGTGAGTCCCGCCGCTGTACTCTGTTGGTAAGTCCCACTGCTGTACTCTGTTGGTGAGTCCCACCGCTGTACTCTGTTGGTGAGTCCCACCGCTGTACTCTGTTTTTGAGTCCCACCGCTGTACTCTGTTGGTAAGTCCCACCTCTGTACTCTGTTGATAAGTCCCGCCTCTGTACTTTGTTGGTGAGTTCCACCGCTGTACTCTGTTGGTGCTGTGAAATGTGCTGTGCCCACTCTCTAGGGGTCATTCATGAGCGACGGGTATTTGATAAGGAGGGGTTCTTGCGAGTTGATGATATACAATATCATCTTGTTGCAAATCCAGTACAGAACTTCACTCAGATCACAGAAACCTGAGAGAAACTAGTTCCCCCACCAGCTCTCTGGCCTCCTGCACTTCCTGCCCAATGTGTCTGTTATATCATGTGCCCATCTTCGTGCTGGTAAACCCCTGCACCTCTTAGCCGGTATCGTGTCCCCGCCCACAATTCTTAGATCTTTTAGAATGTAACACCCCCCCCCCTCCCCCATTCCCCACCCTCAACCATCACCACTATCCACCACCTATCCTCTCGTTCGTGATCCATAGTATTCTTATAAACCACTTTAAAACGTTTCAGCTCAAAAGCCCCTATTTTGTTCATGAATGATCGTCAGATAACCCACACTTGACATTCATTAAGCTTTTGCTTCTGGACAGATGCATGTTCTTAAAATGTAGATATTTTTTTGCTTGTTGGTGTTTAGCCATAGACTTCTCATGTGACCATAGACAGGAGGGTAAACAGATTAAAAAGACAAACAATATGATAGACAACATACTGACAGAAGGACGCAGTTAAACAGAGAGGTGGATAGAGAGGGAAACAGGCAGCAAGTAAGAAGAAATAAAAACACATAGACGGATTCAGACAGACTGGCTGTCTGTGTGTAGGTAGAAAGACAAATAGCTGAAGACGGAAGGTGGCTAGGCTAGAAATTAAATCGGCAACGTTTGCTGGGAAAATAACTCTTGTCCAATATGCCAGGAAGGCTTGCCGTGTCAGTGCTGTGATCCAGATAGGAGTGTACTAAAGACAGTCGCTTTGCTTTTTTCAGGAAACGGACTTGGCATGAAGATTGTTGGCGGGAAACAAATTCCTGGCACCAAGGAACTAGGGGCTTTTGTGACTGCCATTTACCCGATCATTGCCGACCAGCTACACGGAGAACTGGACGTAGGTAAGTCAGGTTTTAAACACACAGGCACTGATTGGGTGACTATATGTCCGGTTCTTACCAGATATAATCCTTTCTTGGAAGATTATCTCCAAATGTGTGCACATTCTGGAAAAGGAAATGTGTCATATTTATCTGCCAATATTTCTGAGGAATTTATTGAATGAATGGGACAACAGACTCTGTGTACTATCCTTGAAGAAGAAAGAATTAAAGTATTACCCAATAAGTGTACATTCCAAACTCCAGACATCTCACATAGAGATCAACTGTTACAGCCCGATACACGTTAGAGACTGTGAGCCTGTGGAGCCTTCATCCCTATCTGTTGTCCCGGAGCCAAGAATCCAAGAGACATTGTTGTGGATTTTTTCAATGAGAACAACATTCCTCTATCTGATACCGTGGACCTTCTTACCATGACGTCTCAGATATGTCTGGACTATATCCTGGATTGCAAAAAACTTAGTGTCTGACATCTGTGACCCGGTGCTGAACACAGCCTGAACATGGTGAGAGTACAAGCAGCACTGAGTTGTTTACAGTCTGTAATATCCTTTCACATTGATCAGCATCAATTTTTTTTTCTGGCTCCACTCATCAATACAATGTATTGACATTATCTTTATGACAAGTTTTTATTTTAGGATTAGGCAGTTGTCCGACACACCATAGTCATTACATGTTGACGCTGTGCTTGCTTTGCATAGGGATTTTGAAAAAAAAAAATAACACATGCACTGGATTCTCTAACCGCTGACAATGAAACTAGTGAAGCTAGCACATTTCCTTGCACCAACAGCTAGTGAAGCTAGCACATTTCCTTGCACCAACAGCTAGTGAAGCTAGCACATTTCCTTGCACCAACAGCTAGTGAAGCCAGCACATTTCCTTGCACCAACAGCTAGTGAAGCTAGCACATTTCCTTGCACCAACAGCTAGTGAAGCTAGCATATTTCACAGCACCAACAGCTAGTGAAGCTAGCACATTTCCTTGCACCAACAGCTAGTGAAGCTAGCATATTTCACAGCACCAACAGCTAGTGAAGCTAGCACATTTCACAGCACCAACAGCTAGTGAAGCTAGCACATTTCACAGCACCAACAGCTAGTGAAGCTAGCACATTTCACAGCACCAACAGCTAGTGAAGCTAGCACATTTCACAGCACCAACAGCTAGTGAAGCTAGCACATTTCACAGCACCAACAGCTAGTGAAGCTAGCACATTTCACAGCACCAACAGCTAGTGAAGCTAGCACATTTCACAGCACCAACAGCAAGTGAAACTAGTGAATGCAAGAGAGGCCAAAGGATCAGACGAAGAATTGTGAAACCTGGACAGTCTTTCTCATAATACTTTGAAAGCAAGCTAGAAAGAATGAATAAAACAAAGTCCGACAATCAAAGGATATGAACATCGGTGTTGCCACCAACTTCTGAAGTCTTTGAGAACCTATTTCTTGGAAACTACAGACAAATTTAGTGTATATGATTTCAAAGCCGGGATGACGTGTCCAGATACAGGTTACAGTGATGGGGGAAAACAGGAATGACAACGAGTCTGCGTCCTAGCAGACATGACAGCAGAACTGCCAGAGAAACCACTTCTCAGTAAAACCAAAAAGTTCAAGGTGAAAACGTTTCTTTCTATTCTTGACGCGCTAATCTTTGAAACGACACGCATGGGTTAATTCATAGACTGGCAATTTGTTTTCTGCCTTCGACTAATTGAAAATTATTGCTTCTGATGCACTTAAGACAGAGTGTGAACATCTGGCTAGTATGTATCACAAAGACCCCAGTTACAATATCCTCCAAATGAAAGTGGGTACGGTCAGCACTAAGTGGGTCTTAATGCAAACTGTGAGACTCTTCCTGCACTGTACAGACAATCTGGACAATTCAAAATCTCTGTCCCTGAATGTTGAAGTTGCATTCAGGATGTTATGTGCTTGATTGTAACCAACTGCACAGCAAAACATTCTTTTTCAAGAATGAAACTTTTCCTTTTTTTTTTTAATTAATGTTCCACTTAGCGTAATGGGTGAGCATCGTGTAAACTGTCTTTACTCAAGTGCGTTTAACATGACATCCTGGGTTACTTTTATTTTTTTTTCTGGCTACCGGGGATATGGGGGGGGGGCGGGGGGGGGGGGCTGAGTGTGAAAAAACGTCTGGATTCAAAATTCCATATAAGTGTACGTCTGTTATTTACATGCGTCTGCTTTGTATGTGTAATGGTTGAGTATTTATTTACCGAGCGTTAAAATATTGTTCGTGTTGGTGTTGAAAAGCACATTGCACGATTTGCATAAACATACACATACTGTTTCCGGAATGAAGGGCTTTGGGTGGGGGAACGGAGGGCTGGGGAAGGGAGATAGCAAAAGCAACAAGGAAGAAAAAACTTGAAGACCACTGACTTCAGGCCAATAATAAAGCAATTCTGCGAAAATAAATGCCTCAGTTGCTTGTTATAATAACATTCTTAGTAATTTCATACTGCGCCTAATATGTGTTTATGCTCTGACACACGTTTTGCTAAGTGTCAGTCAATTAAATATATGTTTAAAATTATCGACCATTTTCATATCATTCTAGTGAGCAGTTGTTGTAGGGGCCCCAGCACACTGGTTTTCCTGGGGGCCTATAATGCCGTTAAGACGGCCCCAGGTACCAGGTACAGTTCTGGGAAGTACAGGCGGCCGGCGTGGTACTGACCCCATCACCCGCCGAGTGATTGGTCATAAAATATAGATCTAGCACTATGTGTCTAATCCGCCTACGGGCGTAGAAAAAGACCCCTGACTGTATCGATGTATTTCTAGAAGAAGAGGCAGCCGACGACCACTATGACGATGGACACAGGGGTGTCAAGGACATCAGCGTTAATAAGGCAGGCAAGTGGATTGGGTGGCTTTCGAGCTTGTCCTTTTGAGAGAGACGTTCTGCAAGGACCTGCTACGTGGTGATAGTGGTGAGGATGGTGATGATGATAATTGCGATGATGTTGATGATGATGATGAAGGTGATGATGGTGATAATGATGATAATCGATATGATGATGACAATGATGATGATGATAATGAGGATGACGACGATGACGAAGACGACGATGACCCTAGTGTTAAAAAAAAAGTAAAGTTCCCTTTTCACGCCTTTCGTGGTGACATAGTAAACTGTCTCGTTTGTGTGCAGGTGATCAGGTGTTGGAGTGGAACGGGATTCACCTGACGGGGCTGTCTGCCCAGGAAGTACAAGACATTATTGCTCAAACAAACGGAGAAATAGAGATGGTCGTCAGAGCGTAAGTCATCGCTCGTGTCTCTTCTTCCTTCTCCTATTTCTCCATATCCAGGTCATTCTTCTCTCTGCCCTTCTCATTCTCACTCTAACTGATTTTGATTCTAAACTTCCTTACTCGATAGTTCCACTATTCTAATGCACTACCTTTATGGAATTCCTAGTAACCTAACTCCTTTTATGGAATTCCTAGTAACGTAACTCCTTTTATGGAATTCCTAGTAACCTAACTCCTTTTATGGAATTCCTAGTAACGTAACTCCTTTTATGGAATACCTAGTAACGTAACTCCATTTATGGGATACCTAGTAACCTAACTTCCTTTATGGAATACCTAGTAACCTAACTCCCTTTGTGGAATACCTAGTAACCTAACTCCTTTTATGGAATACCTAGTAACGTAACTCCATTTATGGGATACCTAGTAACCTAACTTCCTTTATGGAATACCTAGTAACCTAACTCCCTTTGTGGAATACCTAGTAACTTAACTCTATTTATGGGATGCCTAATAACATAACTCCATTTATGGGATGCCTAGTACCGTAACTCCATTTAAGGAATACCTAGTAACCTAACTTTCAAAATAATATGGCTTCGTGGTCTTTATCTAACTCGGCTTTTTCTTCTGCCTTCTAGCCCCCAGTGGAGCATAGGCCCACAGCCAACTCACGCCAAGCCATTCTATCCTTTGCTATTTCATCCAGCTCTCGCCATATCCTCTCCGTGTGTTTCTTGTTCTCGCTATATTTATATTTGGGGTTACAGTGCAAAGATATGCTATTTAAATTATCCTCAAGTTTTCCCAACGTGTGTTTTATCCAACGCCAGCGTATTTTCTTTATCTCTTGGTACACTGATACTTGTTTAGGTCTCACCCAGAGCTCTACATTAGTGATTCTATCATACCCTTTAATTCTCTGTATTCTGCGCAGGCACCAGTTAATGAATGTGTGTAGTTTTGCTCTATAATTGCTTTGGTTTTTCTCCATGTTCCAGCTCCATTCAAACTGTAACGATTTGACATTATAATTAAAAATGTTAATGTTTATTATTAGTTTTGAGTTGTTGTTTTTTACCTTCACAAACTTCCAATGCTATGAAAACCCTTCTTGCCTTTTATATTTTTACCCTTGCCTTAGTTCATTGGATTCAAACCAAATATCCGACCATAAAAATACAATGACTGACCACCAAAGGGAACCATTCAGGGTACGAAGAACATGGCGGCTAAGTCATCTTGAGCTTTCCCATCCCCACCCCAACCCTCCCTTCTCCTCTTTTCTTCGCACTGACAATTGTTACTTAGAAAACCAACATTTCTTAGACCCCCCCCCCCCACCCCGATATTTGTTTAGATTATTATTAGTATTCATGTATACCCGGCTTGGACCCATTGAGCAGCGTCCATGGTTTAGGCGTTGTGAGTCCGTCTCGTAATTCCAGCATTGAGCGATCGAAACCCACTACTGGCTGCGTGGATTACTATCATAGTATGGGGCGTCGCAGGTTGACCTAGCCTAAAATGGGTACCAGGATGTATGTCCTGGGGAAGTAAAGACGCCCGGCGTAATTCTGACCACATTACCCAGTGCAGATTGGTCTGTAAAAATATGGGTGCTTTTTCCATATGCCTGATGCGCCTATGGCGTGAAAATGGATCTTTACTTTTTTTTTTAAAAGGCCTAATGAGCACCCACCGTCTTAGGAAACGTGCAATGTAGCCTAACCACCTCTACCCCATGCCAAGGTTTACCTTTTCTTCTCCTTTGCGTCCACCGGAGGTTCTGGTTATACGTCCACTTCTTGACTGTAGTCTTATCCCAGAACTTGAGTTTTACGTGCATATCCGTTTGACAGATCTGACTTATTTGTGAGCAGACTGTTGGTTCGACTTTTACGACATGCTCATTAGGGCAGCAGTGGGTCTATCCTCCCCCCCCCCCCCCTTTTTTTTACAGTTCTCCCTAAAAAGAACCCCGTAACCCTAACAGGGATACAATATTTTCATTGTGTCGGAGCCTAGGGCCTTTAACTTATGTGTCAGGTTTGCACATATATTCACAGAACAGTTGTGTCTCTTCTATCTAGTCAAGCAGTTCCGGTATCACTGATGGAGCTAACTGCCCAGCCAGAGAGTTGTCGGTCCTCCTACGATAACCTGGCCTTGCCGGCCTACGAGGAATCGGGTGAGCCACTCATTGGGGTAGTCTCCCCTGTGTTTCTCTTTTATCTGGGACTAGCCCATCACTATACAATCTTATCAATTCACCATTTCACTTCTTTAATCAAACCATCACTTCACATTCTTGGTCAATCCATTCACTTTATATCTTAAGTTGAACCTTCGCTTCGCATATATAATCAGTCACATCTTTGGTAAAACCATCCCTTCACGTCTTTGGTCAAACCTTCACTTCAAATTGTGTATCTTTGGATTTATTTACATGTCACGTCAAGCCACCGCTTGACATTTTTAGTTAAACCTTCACAACACATCTTTGGTCAAATCATCACTTCACATGTTCAGTAAAGTTTAATGTTGCAGTGTTGAACGTGTTAAACTAGTCCAATATTGCAATGTTAAACATATCAACTGGGCTATTGATAAAATAATAAACCTGTCTGCCGAAATAATGTTGCAGTGTTATATTTGTCTACTAGACTAATGTTGCAATGTTAAGCCTGCCTACTGGACTAATGTTGTAATGTTAAACCTGTCAAATGGTCTAATGTTGCAATGTTAAGCCTGCCTACTGGACTAATGTTGTAATGTTAAACCTGTCAACTGGTCTAATGTTGTAATGTTAAACCTGTCAGCTGGTCTAATCTTGTAATGTTAAACTGGTATTTTGATTAAACATGTCAGCTAAACAAATTATTGTATGGTTAAGCCTGACAATCGGTATAATTTTCAAATGTAAAACCTTGTATTTGGTTTTCTTCTTATTCTTCTTCTTCTTCTTCTTCTTCTTCTTCTTTTTCTTTTTCTTCTTCTTCTTCTTCTTCTTCTTATTTTTCCAATTCTTCAGCTTCATCTTTTCGTTCACTGGCTGTAAACTCCGGCGGAAAGTTCTGCTTGTTCTCACATATCTGGACTTCTGCCTTGTTGCAGATCTTGAGTTGTGCATAGTAATCCGTTTTAATGATCTGAATTATGCGTGTGCACACTGTTGGTTCATTACCTCTCAGGAAAGTCTAGAAAGGTAACCCATAATTAATGGACTCTTACAACATGCTTGTTGGGGGGTCCCCATGAGGAGTCATTAACATTACCGTGTTTATTGGTGCATTATTTAATGTTCACCTTGTTAAGTTGTGTGCTTTTTAATTCAAAACCTGTCTCCTGGACTAATGTTGTAATGTGATATCTATCTACTGGACTAATGTTGTAATGTGAAACCTGTCTCCCGAACTAATGTTGTAATGTGAAACATGTCTCCTGGACTAATGTTGCAATTTGAAACATGTCTCCTAGACTAATGTTATAATACGATACTTGTCTCCTGGACTACTTGTTATAGGAGGAACACTATTTCCTCACAAGAATATACACAAGCTTACATGGATATCCCCAAATAGAAGAGATGTAAACCAGATCGACCATTTCATGGTAAACAGAAAATGGCGTGGCTCCCTATTTGATGTGCGTGTCAAAAGAGCAGCAGATGTGGGAAGCGATCATCACCTTGTAGTCGCTCTATTATGACTTAAACTCAAAAAAGTTTACACGCAAGTTAAGACACAGACAGCATGTTACAATGTTAACCTTCTAAGAGAAAAAGACATTGCCACTAAATTTATAGTATAACTCAAGAATAGATTTCAAACCCTATCAAGTGACCCAGAAACTCCAACTACAATCAGCATTCAAGACAGATGGAACCAGATCAAAGAAACATACAAATCAACTAGCAATAACATATTAGGAACCAGGAAACAACATCACAAAGAATGGATAAGTAGTCAAACCATGGACTATATTGCCAAGCGAAAAAGAATAAAGAGCCTCATAAATCACACTAAATCAGAACGTCAGAAAGACAAACTAATGTTAGAATATAGCGAACTAAATAAAATAACCAATAAAAGTGCCAGAGCTGACAAGAGAAGATTTATAGAAAAATCTTGCAGAAACAGCGGAAAATGCTGCTAAAGCACATGATCTACAAACCCTACACAAAATTACCCAGCAAATTTGCGGAAACAGAGACAATTATCACAGCATACCCATCAGAGATAACCAAGGCAGACTGCTCACCACAGAACAAAAACAAGACATGCAGTGGACTAAACACTTCTCCGACCTCTTGAACAGACCTGATCCTGAAAATCCCCCAGATATTCAACCAGCCTCTCAGGACATTGACATTATTACTGAACCACCAAGCAAACAAGAAATCCTTAAAGCTATCCACACTTTAAAGAACAACAAAGCACCAGGCAAAGATGAACTGCCAGCAGAACTTCTCAAAGTAGATCCCAACACAACTGCTAGCATTCTAGAACCATTGTTCAAGGATATTTGGGAAAAAGAAGTGTTGCCTGATGACTGGACTGAAGGAACAATAGTCAAAATCCCCAAAAAAGGAGACAACAGACTGTAATAATTGGAGGGGAATTACTCTACTCTCAGTACCAAGCAAAATATTTTGTAAAATCATCATAATGCGGCTTGAAAAAGGAGTAGATAAATGCCTACGAGTGGAACAAGCAGGATACAGAAAGGGTAGAGGAACAACTGAGCACATTTTCGCCATACGTAACATTTTAGAACAATGCAACGAATGGCAGAGAAGTATATATATTAATTTTGTGGACTTTGAGAAAGCTTTTGACAGCGTCCATAGAGACGGTCTGTGGAAAAGTTTACGACATTATGGAATTCCAGAAAAAATAGTCAACATAGTTGCTCTCTTCTATAAAGACTTTTCCTGCAGTATAAAAAATTACAATACATCTTTCCCAGAAAGACGGGTGTAAGACAGGGATGTGTTATGTCATCTCTCCTTTTCAACCTTGTGATTGATTGGATACTAAAGAACACAGTAGACAGGACATTAAGAGGCATACGATGGACTCCATTCACCATGCTTGAGGACCTTGATTTTGCAGATGATATAGCACTCCTATCACATAAACATGAACATATACAAGAGAAAAGTAACAGACTACACTGCACAGCAGAAATGGTGGGACTAAGAATAAATACAAAGAAAACTAAGATCATGACAAACAGTCCAAACCAACAACCAGTGACCATAAGTAACCAATCACTTGAAAATGTAGAACATTTCACATATCTCGGCAGTGTGGTGTCCCTACTGGGAGGGACAGAGGAAGACATACAGTCAAGCCTGAACAAAGCTAGAGCTGCTTTTGGAAGGATAGGGTAAATCTGGAAATCCAACAGTTACTGTAGAGAAACGAAACTCCGACTCTACAAGAGTATCATTTTGCGTTCTTCTTTATGGAGCGGAATGCTGGAGAATGACCAAAAAGGATGCACACAAGCTGTCCACCTTCCACCACACATGTCTACGTAGAATTATCAAAATTTTCTGGCCAGATACAATCTCAAACACTAAACTACTTCAAGCCACAAACCAAGAAACTTTAGACAGTATGATTACCAAGAGAAGATGGAAATGGCTTGGCCACGATATGAGAATGACTTCTGATATACCTGCCAAAACAGCTCTCACATGGACACCAGAGGGAAAGAGAAAACAGGGGCACCCAAAAACAACATGGAGACGAACGAGGGAAAGTGACCTGAGTGCGGCATCTTTGATATGGAAAACTGCACTGAAGATTGCACAGGACAGGAAAGCATGGAAAGTCCTCTCTGAAGCCTTATGTGCCACTAGGCATAACGAGAACTGATGATGTCTCCTGGACTAATATTGTAATGTGATATCTATCTACTGGACTAATGTTGTAATGTGATATCTATCTACTGGACTAATGTTGTAATGTGATATCTATCTACTGGACTAATGTTGTAATGTGAAACCTGTCTCCTGAACTAATGTTGTAATGTGATATCTATCTACTGGACTAATATTGTAATGTGAAACCTGTCTCCTGGACTAA